GCCCAAATTGATAACAAGGATTCGCGATCAGGATGCGAGGGCCGTGGACGCCCATGTGAAGCTCCCCGAGCAGGGCTGGCCATCGAGAAAGGTGAAGGATGGACCAGAGAGGCAAGGATGCAAGGGTGCCCTTGGGAAGGTTGCTCGTCCGCGACGTCGGTTTCGACTGTACTGCTCCTCGCAGTACGTTGTCGGGAGCCTTGAGACGGGGGTCAATGCAGACGGGGGTCAACCAGAGCGCCAGATCTTGCAGGATACTGCAGGGCCAGGGGCGCGCATTGACCCGGGTGTGGGTGCAAGATCTTGCAGGATCCTTCGCAGTGACCCGGGCTTGGGTGCAGGCTCTTGCAACATTCTGCAAGGCCCGACTGACCCGGCTCTGGTTTGACCCGGGTCATAGACGAGCACGTTCCATTACTCGCAAAGTAACCACTCGCAAATGGCCTGGATCCCCCGCGGAGGATCTACGATAAACTACATCAAAGCAGACATGTGTTTTTCGGACGTTTGCGAGTAGGCACTTTGCGAGTAGTGGAACGCGCTCGGTGAGGTCATAAGATCCCCGACGTGGGAGGCTTGGCCTCTCGCAGGGCCACGCGGGTAGGGAGCCGACGGCAGCCTGCTGCCCATCCTGGCCGCCGACCGCGGCCGTGCCCCCTTCCGTGGCCTGAGGGCCGACGCGCGGGCCGCCTCGGCCCGCGGGTCGACCGACAACCGAGCCATGGCGCCATGGGACCTCCTCTCCTCCTCCTCCTCCTCCCCTCCTCCTCCTCCTCCTCCTCCACCTCCTCCTCCTCCCTCCACCTCCTCCTCCTCCTCCTCTCCTCCTCCTCCTCCTCCTCCTCCTCCTCCTCCTCCTCCCCCTCCTCCTCCTCCTCCTCCTCCTCCTCCTCCTCCTCCGGGGAGGGGGACCGTAAACAAGGAGCTTCACTCCTTTGATCGATCTGTTCCAAGATGGCCCCCGAGGGTACAAAGGGTGTCCCAAGACGGCCCCAAGAGGTGCCGAGGAGGCCCCAAGAGGCCCCCAAGATGCTCCCAAGATGCCCCCAAGAGGCTCCCCAGAGACTTCCAACAGGCCCCCAGAGGTTCCCCAGAGGCACCCAAGACGCCTCACGAGGACCCCGGAACTGCCAAGAGTCCCCGAAAACGCTCCAAGAGGACTCCACGAAGCTCTCGAAATAAGTCCGAAGAGACTCCGAGAGACATCCAAGAGGGCTCTGGCCTTTCTGCTCACCCTCCTCCTGCTTGTCATCATCATCCTCGTCCTCCTCATCCGCCTGTTCCTCCGCCTTCCTCCTCCTCCTCCTCCCCCTACCCCTCTACACAATCCTCCTCCTCCTCCTCCTGCTCCTCCTCCGAGTCTGATTCCCCCTCCAGCCTCCCCCTTTCGGGATACGACGTCTTACCAGCCAATCACTCCACTGCATGCTCCTCCACATCCCTGATCAGGGCAACTCGTCAAGGCATCGTTTCTGGATGGACTGCTGGGGTTACGCGAAGCGTCTAGACTATATATATCTCTAAATCTATATATTGTATGATGATCGTTTCTCGTACGTTCGTCTTCCTTTGGTCCTCGATGCCTTCCAGGATGGCCCCATCAGAGGCCCAGATCTCACATATCCTCAACGAGGCCCACAAAATTCGCCCAAAGGGCTCCAATTGACTTCCCATACGACCGCGAATGGCTTCGTCTTTCTCGAGGCATGGAGCACAACTGTGCCGGCCGCAAGATGCTTACTGGGTGCGGGTACAGCTCCGTGCAGTAAGTTTAAAGCCTCTTCGAGGGCGATGGCCTCGGCCATGAACGATGACATCGGGGATGTAAAATATCTGCCCGCCGTGCAGGTCGGGAATACTCTCCATGCTCCAACACACGTGCCACGCGGCCGCCATACACCTGTCAACGCAGATACCCCCCATCCATGTGGATGAGAGGCGCCCTGGGTTAACAGTCTTTTGTATTTTGCTTTTCTGGGCTGATCACGCCTTTGGTTTGACAGATGTCCCTACACTGTGTGTTCTCTGGTGATCCTCCACTTCCCTTCTCACTACGACTCGCCTGGCTATCCTCTGGACGGGCTGATGGTAATGCGCCGAGCGTCCAGGACCACACCAGCACCGGCAATAGTGGCAACATGACGGCCCCCAGGCACCCACCATACGGCCAAGAGGGCCCCAAAACGGGCAAAGAGAGCCCCAAGACGGACCAAGAGGGTCCTAAAACGGCCAAAGAGAGCCCCAAAGGACCCCCAAGACAGCCACACGGGTGACCAAACACAGCCACAAGACGGCCCAAACGAGGTCATTGAGAACTCATCATGTATTGGAGACGCGATGTGCACATGTGACGGCCCTCCTCCTCCTCCTCCTCCTCCTCCCCCTCCTCCTCACCCTCCTGCTCCTGCTCCTCCTCCTCAGTTCTCCTGATGATGATAATGATGGTGGTGGTGCTGCTGCTGCTCATCATCACCATCATCGTCATTCATAATCATCATCATCATCATCAGCAGCATCATCATCACCATCGCCATCGCCATCGCCATCGCCATCACACGCATCATCATCATCGGCAACATCATTATCATCATCGTCGTCATCATCATCAACATCATCATCAACATGATCAATATCACCATCAGCATCAACATCATGATGATCACCATCACCGTCACAATCACCATCACCACCTTCATCGTCATCAACATCATCAGCAGCATCACCATCATCACCACCATCATCATCAGCATCATCATCACTACCACACTCCTCATCACCAACGCCACCATCAGCGCCACCACCACCATCATCATCGCCATCATCAGCATCATCAGCATCACCATCACCATCAATATCATAATCATCACCAACAAAACCGTCATCATCACCATCGCCACCACCATCATCACCTTTCCACCACCAGCATCACCACCATCGTCATCATCATCGACATCATCATGACCAGCATCGTCATCGTCATCATCAGCATAACCATCGTCATCGTCATCGTCACCACAATTACCACCATCACCACCATCATCATCATCACCACCATCAACAACACCATCAGAGTCATCACCTTCACCATCATCATCATCATCAGCATCATCATCATCATCATCATCATCATCATCATCATCATCATCATCGTTATCACCATCACAACCACCAACACCACCATCATAATCATCGCCATCATCACCATCATCACCATCATTACCATCATCATCATCATCATCATCACCATCATCATCATCATTACAACCATCATCATCATCATCATCATTATCAGCATCACCATTACCACCACACCTACAATCGCCATCACTACCTTCACCGCCACTATCAGCATCACCAGCACCATCATCATCATCATCATCATCATCATCATCACAATCATCATCATCATCGGCATCATTGGCATCGTCATCATCAGTATCACCAACAACACTATGATCATCATCATCATCACCATCAACATCACCATCAACATCATCGCCTTCATCTCAAACATCATCAACATCACATTCATCATCATCAACAACAGCACCATCACCACCACCATCATCACCAACACCACCACCATCATTATCACGGCCCTCCCAAACCTAGAAACACGAGGTGACACAAGTGATGGCCTCCCGTGCCCACTCGAGCAGTCGCCACCTAAAGTGCTGGGCTGGCACGGTGGCGGGTTCTTGCCACTAGCAATTAGGTAGTGGCAACATTCTGGCCGCATTAGCACCGTGCGAGAGGGCTCCTACTAATGCGTTACCCACCCCAATTGGCCTCAGAGCCTTGCGTACCTCGCTGCAGCATGGACGTGCAATTGTAAGTACCATGCTGAAAACGATCAACAATGTAAACTCATCAACACAAAGCATACGGGACACGATGAAGAGAGCAGAGTGCACAAAGCATCGTGCATGAACCACACATGACATAGCACATAACATTGCACGTAACACTACGACAAGTGAAGCACCGCACGTGCATGTACATTAGCGCGCTTACGCGCACCTACACACGCACGCACGCACTGTGTTTTGGTGTCGCGGCTACGCGCGCTGCAATGTGGCGGAGTCGGGCGTGCTAAGGACAACGGAGCGCGCGCGTGGGTCCTGCTCACAACGGCGACTGGGCGTGCCGGGTTTACCCTCAGGGAACCGTGCAGCACGACTCACGGGGGGGGAAGCTGCGGCGGGGGGGACGAGAGGGGGTCGACGACTGGGGAAGGGGACGCGAATGGCTAGAGGTGCCCGAGTGCACCGAGTGGGCCGTGGCATACCCTCAGGAGGAGGCACGTGCGACACGGCGACACAGGCAGCAGGAGCCCGAGCAAGACTGGAAGAGATTGGAGGCAATCGACGAGCGCGTTCCACTACTCGCAAAGTAACTACTCGCAAATGGCCTGAATCCGACGAGGGGGATCTACGATCCACTTCATCGAAGCAGACACGTGCTTTTCGGACGTTTACGAAGAGGCACTTTGGGAGTGGTGGAACGCGGTCGGTGAGGCAAAGTGGGGAGGCTGGGGAGACGCACGGGCAGCCGTGCCCAGAGGCGGCCCGAGCGAAAGGGAGCACCAAGGAGGGCAGTGCCAGTGGCACGGACCCCTCCCTCCTCCGACAGCGGCGGGGGGGGGGGGGCGAAGCAGCGAAGGAGCAGCGGACGGGAGAGGGAGGAGAGGGGGAAGCGGCATTGGGTCATGGGCCCATTTTCCACCACCACTACCATAGGTAGGAGAGGGAGGAGGAGGAGGAGGAGGAGGAGGAGGAGGAGGAGGAGGACCTCCTCATCCTCCCTTCTCCCCTGTCCTGCCTATGGCAGTGGTGGTGGAAAACTGGCCCATCATCAGGAGGACCCAGCAGGGCGTCTCGTGTTTTGTTTTCCGGGACTGCAGGCGGTCCTCCGGGCAGCCCCGCGGGCACTCCCTGGGCCGTGATCCTTCAGGGCCGCGCTGCCGACCCGCCGCCCCCCCGCCGCGCTCTGGGTGCTGGTCAGTGGAGCTGGAGCCCGTCCGCGAACCTGACCTTCCTCAGCAGCTCGAAGAACTCCTCGAACTCCAGGGTCCGGCTGTTGTCCGCGTCGTACTTCCGGATGCTGCGCGCCGCCCAGCGCGCGACCCGCTTGCGGCTGACCTTCTGCCCGGCGCTCAGCAGCATCCCCGCGTAGGCGAAGCGCAGCTCCTCCACGGTGAGGTGGCCGTCGCAGTCTCGGTCGGCGGACGCGAAGGCCGCGCGCGCGGCCTCCTCGTCCACGGCTCGCCTCTGCTGGGCTGCCGGGGACGCGTTCATCTGCAGCGCCGACCTGAGCCAGGCTTCGAACTCCCCGTAGTCCAGGGTGCCGTTGGAGTCGAGGTCCGCCTCCTGGAACAGCCTGGTGCACTCCGACATGCTCCGGACCTTGAGGGCCTTCTTGATGGCGAACGACCTCTGCACCGAGCGCTTCAGCTCCGTCTTCGTCACCTCTAGAGGAGCAGCAAAATGCATGAACAGAAAATTGTACAGGTCCGCCAGGAATTCTTGGACCAGCGCTGGAGCTCCCTCCCTGGCGCGCGGAGCGTGCCAGGGGCTGCGCCGAAAACGCCGCCACGTGGACCCCAACGCCGATCCAAGAGAGCCTCACAGCACCCCGAAAGAAAGCCGTTCGTTGTTCGTCCGTCTTCTTCTTCTGCCATGAATGCGTGCGGAGACGCGCCGCTTCATGTTCAATAGCGTCAATTCTGGCAACTGTTCAAAACGGATGTGCTACGCATGCAGTCAACCCGTATCATAAGGATGCCGTGGAAGGCCATGCCGACACTTTGCAAGCGGGGCGCGGCCAGCGAAAGCGGCCAAGGATGGGCCGAAGGGGAAGGATGCAAAGATACCCTTGGGATGATTGCCCATAGTTACTATGACTATGCGTGTTGGCTGTACCTATCAAAAATCGTCACCCTGCCGTCCCCGTCACCCTGCCATCCCCTTCTTCTTCTGCCAGGAATGCGTGCGAAGACGCGCAGCTTCATGTTTCGTAGCGCCAATTCTGGCAAACGTGTCAAACGAATGTGCCGGGCATGCCAAACACTAGAATCGTCACCCTGCCGTCCCCGTTGCGGTCGATCTGGTCGAAGAGCTTCCTGGCCTCCGCCAGCGCCTCCGTCTGGGCCGCGCTAGCGCCGCCGCCGCCCGCCGCCGCCCCGGCTGCGCCCGCGCCGCCGCCGGCGGGCGCCGCCTGGCCCAGGCCTGGCCCGAGCTCCTCGTCCTCGTCGTCGTCCCCCTCGCGGGAGGGATTCAGCTGCAGTGTCGAAGCGCTGTCGCAAGGAACCCTAAATTACCCCAGTGCGACCCTACCTAGGAGTTGGAGCCCCTAGGAAAGCAGCATTAGTAGTAACGGTAAACGCCATCCTCCTCCTTTTCCTCATCGTCGTAGTTGCCTTTGCTCTTGCTTGTTTTTGCTTTTGCTTGGTTTTGCTTTTCCTTTGCCTTCGCACACACACACACACGCATGTTGTTGCATTCGCTCACCGGGTGGGCTCTCTGATCGTACTGTCGCACATTGCTTTTGCTTTGCCTTTCCTTTGCTTTGCTGTTGCTTTTGCTTTGCTTTGCGTTGCGTTGCTTGTGATTGTGCTTTGCTTTGCTGTTGCTGTTGTTGATTTGCCTTTGCTTTGCTGCTATGCTATGCTATATTATGCTATGCTGCACTATGCTATGCTATGCTGCGTTATGCTGCGCTATGCTATGCTACGCTAGGCTGCGCTATGTTATGCTAGGCTATGGCATGCTATGCTATGCTGCGCTATGCTATGCTATGCCATGCTATGCTATGCTATGCTATGCTGCGCTATGATATGCTATGCTATGATATGCTGCGCTATGCTATGCTAGGCTGGGTTATGCTATGATATGCTAAGCTAAGCTAAGCTACATCTAAGCGAAGCTAAGATGAAGCTAAGCTAAGCTAAGCTAAGCTAAGATGAGATAAGCAACGCTAAGCTAAGGGGACGTAGCTGGGGGAACCGCGGGGCGGATACTGGGGGAACCGCCTGGGGCGCTTTCCACTGACGGGCCCCTTTAAGCCCAGAGAGTAAGAACCCTTCTAGGCAGAGCCTAGGTAGGGAATAAGGAACGAGGCCCTTTTTTCTTCCATAAGTTCCACTCTGGCTTCCCGTAGAACACTCCTAAGGAAGACCTGAGACAAACTGTAAAACAATGAAGGAACACCGGGCCCCTCTCCAACGAAAAGGGTTCCTTCTTCAGCGGCCCGACTGTACAGTATGCTGTGACATCTCATGGGAGCCTCCCATGCCATCTTGCTGGCTCTTGCGGATCGGCGCTGGCCGGCGCTAGCCGACGCCGACCGATCCTCGTCGACGCCGGCTCGGCGCTGGCACACGCTAGTGCAACTCTGACCAGATGGGATTCCGAGGACGTACAGGGGCTCCCATGATTTGCGACCGAAGCTATACACCTGCACCGACGATCCTGGCCAGGCCAATCCCTCGCCATCGCTCGGACGTCCATTCCGCGTGCATCTTGGAATTCGTGCATGTATTTTTCGCAAGATGGTCCAACATGCTCCTCGATGGTCCTCGACGAGGAAAATGCACATGTCCGACCGATGCCCAAGGCCAGGCCAATCCTGGGCCCGTGCCGGTGTGTCCAGGTCACCCAGCCTCGCGATTCGCGCCCCGCGCTGCGCGAGGATCTTCGCGCTCTAGGGAGGATGACGAGGAGGCGGAGGAGGAAGAGGAGGAGGAAGAGGAGGACGAGGAGGAGGACGAGGAGGAGGACGAGGAGGAGGAGGAGAAGGAAGGAAGGACGGAAGGAAGGAAGGAAGGAAAAAAGGACGGAAGGGGGCAGGAGGAGGGGGAGGGGGAGGGGGAGGGGGGGAGGAGGAAGGAGGAGGAGGAGGAGGAGGGAGGAGGAGGAGGAGGAGGAGGAGGACGAGGAGGAGGAGGGAGGAGAGGAGGAGGGAGGGAGGAGGAGGAGGAGGAGGAGGAGGAGGAGGAGGAGGAGGAGGAGGAGGAGGAGGAGGAGGAGGAGGAGGAGAGGAGGAGGAGGAGGAGGAGGGGGGGGAGGAGGAGGAGGAGTAGGAGGAGGAGGAGGAGGAGGAGGAGGAGGAGGAGGAGGAGGAGGAGGAAGAGAGGAGGAGGAGGAGGAGGAGGAGGAGGAGGAGGAGGAGGAGGAGGAGGAGGAAGAGCGCCGCCGCCGCCGCCCCGAAAGAGCACCTCGGCGGCGCAGGCCGCGATGCGCGGCGCGCGATTAGCTTCGCGCCCCCGCGGGTGACCTAATCCAGGAGCCGCATTAAAGTGATGATTTGTTTTTTGGCCCCCCCTCTGTCACAGAGGGGCCCTAATATGCCCCCCCTCTGTCATGGAGGACCTCGTTATGGGTGCTCTTCTGCCACGGGAGCTCCCGATACGATTGGAGACGATAAAATGCGATGGCGGGGTGGGGGATTGGAGGGGGAGGGAGAAGAAAACGATGAAGGAGAGGAGGCAACGACAGCACCGATGAAAGCACCGTTTCTTTTTCCTTCTCCGCTCGGGCAGCGGTCGCCGAGCACGACGGCGCGCGCGACTCGCCGCCGCCCACGATGCACTGGCAAGGCCTCCGCTGCTGCGGAGGGTCGACGTTCGGCCGATGAGGCCTCCCTCCGCTGCTGCGGAGGGGCGGCCCCTGTGCGATGGTTCAGCTAAGTTCTTCCCAGGGATTGGTCTCGGGGGGGTGTTCGACCCACCTCCAGGTGTCGTGGTCGTGGCCTCCCAGTGCCCCTGGCCGCCACTCCACCCACTGTGGCTGCTCCACCAGTCACTGGGGCGCGGGTCGCTGCCGAATGCAACTTGCATGTCGCGCCAGGCGGAGTCGACCCTGCGGTCCTGCACCGAGGAAGCCTCGCCGCTCGGCTGTTGCCACTCGCGCTCCTCGCCCTCCCTGGTGCGCCACCAGTCCCACGATTTGCCGCGCCACTCATCCCTGCGCCACTCCCCGTCTGTTGGGTGCTGCCATGGCGTCTGTGGCCCCCGCTGCTGCGGGGGCTCTGGCGGCTGATGCCGCGGCGCCTCCCGCGGCTGCTGTTCTTGCAACCCTTGCCCTCGCTGCTCCAGCGGCGCAGGCCCTGGAGATGGCCACTGCGGGGTCGGCCGCCACCTTGGGGGTGATAAGTCGCTATTTCTATAATTATCCCCTTCCTGTCAACTCCCGCCCCTTCCCGACGCCCATTTCCTTATGTCATCCCTCGTCCTGCTCAGCCTATTCCTCATTCCCTCTCCTCCCTCCTGCCCTCCCCGTGCTCCACCCCCCCTCTCCCTCCCTCCCCCTTTCAACCCCCCGCCGCGACCTTCCATCGCCAGCCGCGGGCCAGTCGCGGTCGCCGTCCGCGTTTTCGTCTGCCCATCTTGGTGGGCGCCACGCCTGTTGGGCGCGCTCGTCTTGCTCGTCCCTCTCGCGGTGCTGCTCTGGTGCCTGGCGCTCGGGCCCGTGCTGCTCGGGCGCCGCTGCTCGGGCGCCGCTGCTGCGGCGCCCTGGAGCGCAGCTGCTTGCTGTTTCTGGGCGCGCCTGTCCTTCTTCTCTTTGTTTCTCTCCTGCTTCCTTCCCTGCGAACGCGAGCTGGCCATGCGCATTTGGAACAGGAGAGGGTAGTGGGCGCCGCCGTGCCAGCGCCCCTCCACCTCCACGGTCTCCGGCGGGAACGTCTTCTGCAACGCGCGGAAGAGGGTCACCTCGCGAACTAGAGAAGCGGTGGTCCCCTCTAGCCTCAGCCTCGGCGCGCCTCTGTTTCTCACGCTCCTTCTCTTGGATCTTGCGTTGGCATTCCTCTGACTGAGTCAGTAAATCCTGGAGGTGCTCGCGGGCGTCTTTTTTCGGGTAGTAGCGATCGTAAGGCATCCCAGGGCCTCCTTCCTGGCAGTGGTGCCAGTACGTCGGCTCCGATGATGGGCTGGTGGAGGCCCCCGCTGCTGCGGGGGCCTCTGCCTTGCTTCTGTTCCGGTACCCGATCTCACCGATCACCGACTTGCGTGCGAAGAGCAACCCCGTCTCGTCTCTGTCGTGCACGGCGCTCAGCGGCCAGCACAGGGTGTACTCGCCAGGCCTGTTGAAAACGAAGATGCCGCAGCTGTCCAAGCACGGGGTGCCGTCCAATCCGCGCCAGAAGTACGCTGCTGCCGTCTCCAATCGCAAGCCTAGACCCCGAAGACTCGGAAGCGTCTGTGTGAGCGCCATGTTGAAATCCCCACAAAGGATGTCAACCTTGTTCTCCTGCAAGATGGCCGCCAGCCTCGGCCACCACGTCTTGTGAGCCTCCTTAAAGCCTTTGGAAGCTTTCGCCGTGTCGCGGTGGAGGTGCACCGCGCACACCCGCACTTCCGAGCCGAAGTGGGCGTAGGTTTGATCGAAGGAGACCTCAA